TATGAGAATATTGAGGCTGGGGAGAGAAAACAACTTCCAGTGAGTCCAATTGTCTTTTGGCATATTGTGGGTTGTTCACAGATCAACCAACTTAACATAATTTATTGTCAAGTAGTTTGATGTGACATGAGAACACACGCAATATCTTTTTTGCTGAGTTAAGACTTTAGCCCTGTTAGAATATGACCTGCTGGTGTTCCTGATGCTGCTTTTGCTCCTGCTGGCCTTGTTGCTAGTTTTCTTGCTGCTAGCCCTTGTTTTGTATGGAAGTGGTACTGTTCATGAGATCCATTCATCTTTGGCATGCGTGACAGTCTACAATGGTACCCACCAGTGGTGAAGAGGATCCAGTACCTTACAGCCTCTAAGCTATGGTTTTGCATTGCTTATTTGTTCCTTACACCTGGCCTTGCCTTGTGCCGGCAGCATTTCTGTGCTGTGCTGTGTTGTTGGAGTACCAATGATAAGACAGATATATATTACAGTGAGTCTAACAATCAGCCAGAGCCTGTTAAACAGCAAGTGTAGAGAGGACTTAGGTAGCAATTCTCTGGAGTGTGGAATGTATACCCACTGCCCAACACTTAGAACACTAAGTACAGTGAAAGAGTCTGGGAGGGACAACCAGCATGCCAAGGTTGCCACAATTCCCTTATGGAAACATGTGATCATGGTTCCATCTCTCTTTCTATTTGAAGCACAAGCCTATTCACTCTTTATATATTGGACTGTGCAAGTGAATTTGGAAGAGTGATGTCAGGGAAGAGTGAGAAGCAGCTTGACAAATAGATTTTGAAAGGCCATTGCTATCAGGTCAATACTCCCAACTGCTGTACTCCCAACTCTTGAGTGCAGCCAAGGCTTGCAAAGTGAAGGCTTTTTAAGAATGACAGGGCCCACTTAGTCAATTCAACACTTTAAAGGCAGCTAGAGTAAAGCTAATACTATCAGTGTATCTCCAACCTGAGAATGAACATGATGCTTGTTTCTCAACGAGCTGAGAGCACTAGAAGAACCTGCTGAGTGAAATTACAATAATGGAGCCAAGTCTTGTGGCCACATAGGCTTAAGTTGCTCTTACAAGGTCACTGCAAAAGCTGTAAATAAAAGGAAAGCCTATGCAAGCTGCAATACAGAGGAAACCGACTAGTATTTTGTTCTCTGAATGCCCAAGGTTGATAGTACAAACAGTTAAAAAGTATAACCAAAGTAAATAAAGAAGCATCTCCCAACTTCTCCTTGCAGGAACCTAAAGCAAAACACACTTAACATACCTAGAAGGTTTTATCTCAAGTCCATGGGAGTTTACAATGATGAATACTGAAGCAGATTTTTTCAATCTTAGATTTCCAGATGTTGTTGGAGTATAATTTCCATCATTTTCAGCTAGAATAGCCACTGGTTGTGGGTTCTGAAGTCCAATAATATCTGAGTATTCAAGAGTAGAAAAGACTGGCTTCAAGCAACTGTAATATGTGAAAGGGAGATGCACTTGTCATGATCTTTCACCTAGGAACGCTGCTGATTTTTATCATTAGAAAGGAAAAAAATAGTGGTAATTCTTTAAAAAAAATTGGCAGGAGGCCAAGGGTTTCCTAGATTATGAGGCCCTGCTGAAAAGCAACCATTAGGGAAGGGAGGGAACTTGGCTCAAAAGACAATGTGCCAAAAGGAGGGGGCTATGAAGCTTCCCTTCTTTCTTAAGAAACAAGGTTGTGGGAAGAGAAATTGAGTCACAGCTGGAGCTGGCAGGGCAGGCAGGGAGGTGCTCTCCCTTTCTTCTCAGCCAACACAGTTCCTCCAGCTGTGTGCTGCCTTCTGCCTTCAGAGGGTTGACAAAAGGTGAATGTATAACTTGTACTCGGGCGCAAATTGTGAGAACTTGAGTTGAAGTGGGAAGTATTTTCTGCAACAAGGCTTGGGAATCTGCTGTTAGATACAAATGCCTTTCCTGGATGCCCAGGGTGGGCCCCCTGGGATGGTCCTTGCACTTTATATTTGCAAGGTAAGGTGTAAAGCATCCTGCAGAGTCTGGAGTGTTTTTCTATCACAGGGGAGAAACATGGTGCCCATGGGACTGGCATGCCTCTCAGATACCTTTCTTTGTGCTCACCAATGTGTCTTAGCCCTCCTATTTTTTAAATCAAGCAAGAATTTATAGTGGCAACTGGGATCACTTCACACCAAAGTGGATGCCTCTAGCAGCTCCCATCTTTTGCCTTGAATGACTCTGAGCTTACACATGGGGCTCGGTGACATTCTTAGGAAATGCAGTTGGCAGAAGCAGTGCTTGCTTTGTGCTGGTGCCCAGGACAGCTTCTCAAACTGCCAAATGCACCCACAGGCCCCCAAAGCAGGTGGGATGTCCCATGGTTTCGTTAAGGATGAAGGTGTTTACACATATAGTAAAAACTGCACTATATCCTAAATCTATATAAATTATGTTAGACTAGTTTGGAGACTGAAGCTGGTGCAAAAGTATCCCGAGCCTTAATTGTAGGCATCCCTGAGGAGGGGGCTTCATTCTGTAACCTGAGGCCTGCAAGAAGGTATCCTATGAAATACCATTCCACAGATTTTCCACCTACATCTGAGGGAGAGACAATCGATTCCCAAACTGCTTCAGCAGCCAGTAGCATTACCAAAGGGTGCAATTGCTTCTGCTGCAGTTGTTAGAAAGTATGTAAGAGCCTTACCAAACTGGACCAAGGGCCTATCCAGTCCAGCATTCAGTTCACCCAACAATGAGCTGCCTGCAGGAAGTCCATAAGCAGGACATTGGTGCAACAATGCCCTTCCATTCATGTTCTCCAGCCTACAGCATTTGATATGGAAAGTTATATATAGCTGTATGACAAGTAGCTAGCCAGTGATAGTCCAACCACCTTTGAAAGTCATCCAACTTGATGCCCATCACTATATCTTATGGAGGCAGCGGATTCCATGGTCAAACTATGCACTATATGAAGTGGTACTTCCTTTTATCTGTACAGCATCTCCCATCAATCTGTTTCATGCAAGGACTGTCCCCCTTCTTGTATTATGAGAAATGGGGGAACATCTTACCCTATCCACATTGTTCATGCCATGTATAATTTGGCATACTTCTAGCTTGTTTTCCTGTATTCACCTTTTTCTAAGCTTAATAACCCTGAGCTTTGTAACCTTTCCTCACAGGAGAGTTGGCACAGCCACTTGATTATTTTAGTGCCCTGTTTTTGCATATTTTCTAGTAAAGGACTCCATTTTATGCATGCCTCAGGATAACTAACTTCCTGTCCAGCAGGGGGCAATGGTGACATAAATATAATTGCTGGCACATTATATCTACCAGCCAAATTCCCCAGGTGATACAGATTTATACCAGTCACTAGGGACCAGCCGAAATGATTTACTATTTTCTACGGTCATCTTTCATCTTATACCCTCTGGCTATGGCTTCCCAGCAGACACTGCCTGATACTGATTCCTTTTTCTTTTCTTTTTTGCATGTTTATGGATTAATCTGAACAGCTAAACTTGCATTCCCTAATTGCAGTTTACAGATTGTAATGAAACTACATTACTGCTTTGAGACTGAATCTAGAAAGAAAGGTTAGCTGACCCACATAATAAAATACATCCATCCCCTCTGCAGCCCATATCTTTCTGGCAACTCATGCTGAAGCCAGGGAAGACAATAGCACTGATTTGTTAAATGGTACTATGTTTCAAGTTATTTAAAAAACTGCTTGAATTTACAATTTATTTGTTCTGATCTGTATGTAAAAATGGGAGAGACATTAAGCTGAATACTTGTTACCTGGGTTCCATGTTACATTGTTTTGTGGTCAATTTACATTTGAAATAAGAGAGTTGTTAAGTATTATTAATTAGTACTTTGTGGAGAGCATTATATCAGAAAGAAGACAAAAATAGACTATAATGCAGAAATCACCAGAATACTGTGTTCAAGGCTAATCATGCTATGACTAAAAGGTTTCATTTGAGAACAAAAGGGGCACCAGACTTGGAAGATGAGAGTGAGCATTTCTGTATGCAGAGAAACTAGAGGTGGGGAGAGATTGTTTATGGATTGGATGAGTAAATTGGACATGAGAGAGGATATACAAAATGATAAATGGAGTGGTAAAGAGAAGATAAATTAGACTCACCAATAATATCAGAACAAGGGAACATACAGTACATTTGCAAGACAGAGTTTAAAACTGATGAAACAACCTTTCATGCATTATATGAACAAAGATCTTTGCATAAAGCTAGAGTTAAATTGTGTTGCTAAAGCTTTTTGTTCAGCTGCCCCTCCAGACAGCATAATATTGTTACTGAATTATGTGGAACCAGAAATGCCTTCAATTCTGCCATTACTGAATTGGATGCGCCATCCAAGATATTTTATGATGTACTTTCTCAACAATTTTAATGCTCAGCATGCTGCAGCAACTGGAAATCCAGTTGGGTACACTACTGTGAAAGTTCAGTGATCGTAAGGCTGGTCAAAACCTCTTTCCAGATGACAGATGTCTGCTGCAAAGATATCCTGTTTGAGATGTGTTTACATATGTCTGCTCTGCAGTGCATATCCATCCTGAGTTTTAGCTTCTGCCATATGCACAAGGAGAAATCAACATCTATATAGCCATGTGAATGTGACACACTGGCTCATTTTCAAGGCTAGATGAAAATGAAGTTTATGTAGGAAGTTACAGCTGCAGATCAAGGGTACCCTTTCTAATGCTGTGATTGTATAGGCAGCATGAAAAGTATGTTAAGGTTTAAAGAAATCAAGGCAGAGTAGGATAATTTCACACACACACACACACACACAAACACACTATGTAGGATCCCTCTTTATTGGCTTCAAAATTGGATTGGGTGCAATGCACAATCACAGTCAATGGGAAAGATCTTATTAATTTTAGGGGTGGGGTTGATCTAGTTTATGCTGAATCAAATATGCTGATTGAAGTGGATTCATTGCTCTTTCTTTCCCTTGGCAGCCTCTCCAGCCCCATGAAAATGCTACACAGAGGACATGTTTGCATTTCACACCAACCCAACGTGGCCATAAATCACAGTGGACTGGTTTTTGTGCAAACCACAGTGCACTGGGCATATGAGTGAGCTCATCATGGGTTGTTTGCCAACCCTCTTGTCCTTCCCCTCATTCCACCTCAATCCTCCTACAGAGATCCCACAGCTGGACCAATCTGCCTGCTTCCCAGCAACTGCTATCATAGATTTCTTTGCTTCCACCATGGTTTTTTTGCTCCTTTTCCTCTCCCCTCCCTTTTTCAGAGATTGCAAAAAGAATCTCCAGTCTGACAGCTAATCACAATCTCTTCAAAGAGCATGAATGCTTATGTCCCTGTGAAAAAAACATGGGGCACCTTTAAAAAATTCTTTAGAATGGGGTTGCACTTTAGTTCCAAAAGAGCTTTGGCTAGTGGGCAGTATAGAAATATTATTATCTCATAAAAAGGTGGAAAAGTAAGGTGGAAAAGTAAGCTGGCCTCAGAGCCTGATCCAAACAAACAAACAAAACCCATGAGGAACGTGTTGTGAAGGGGTGATCTAGCAGGTACCACTTTTTTATGAGCAAAGATCATACGCAGGTTTGGTTTCTCTTGATAACTCACCTTTTGACAGCTGTCAAAAGAAACCAAAGTGAAAAATAAAGCTCTTGACAGCCTCTCTGGGTCAATGCCCATGAGGGTGCCAGCTGCACTTAAACAACACCCTCCATCTGCACATTGCCCATGAAATTTAGTTTTTGGATCCAAAAATGTCTGCAAGTGTTTATTTACACAAGTCCGACTAATTAAAAAAATAATAAATCTATACCTTTGAGATGCAAAACTTTTTTTTAAAGAAAAGTGTTGATGAACCATTGACAGACCCTTCAATGCACTGCTTCAGTGTTTTGAAGAGGCTGTCATGAACTGCTTTTCACTAAAAGCTTTTCACTAAGAAGAGTTTAGAAAAGCTTTACATAAACAAACTGACTAGCTAACTGCTGGAGAAAAGAAAAGAAAAAGGGTGAAGGGAGCAAAAAGTCACAGCAAACACATACAATCATGGTAGGAATTATTAACAGACCCAATTAAAGAAAATTAGGTGCTTGGGCACTTGTCAAATTTAGTAAGAGTAGTAAGGTGTTCCCACCACCTCCAAGAAGCTCACTTGATGTTTCTCAGTATCCATGATGGAGTCAGTTGCCTAAGTTTAGATGCCATGACAATCCATCATGGGTAACATAACTCCTAAAACAAGCCATGGGTTGTCAGGGTGGGTTAGTGCCCACAGCAAGACACCCTGCAGGAAATGGTCTGAATTTTCATGACATAACCAACCTTAGCTTGTTACCTGTGATAAGTTGTTGTCTCCTGTGAACACAGTCAAGGGGCAGGTTTGCCTGACATGCTAACCCACCCTGGCAATATGCCTAAGTCAGCTATCTGCCTACAAAACAACCCATGGTAAGCTTGCCAGTCAAGGCTTTCTCCCAGCCACGATTGTGAGCTGTTTCAGACTTGCTGTGGCTTTTTTGCTTTTTATCCCATTTTTCCCAGAGGGAAGAAATGGCTGGCAAACTGACTTTCCCAATCCCTATTTTGACAACTACAAGCAGTCCCCTCAAAGTACTCTGTGGTTGTCCATCCTTTAAAAAAAAGAAAAAAGAAAGAATATGCAAAAATTATTTTGTAAAAAAGCTCCTCTAGCCACAGTTATGCAACTGTGAACAATCATAATTTCACAACTGCCAGGTTTTGAAAAATTGGTTGAGGGGAGGGGGTAGTCTGCTAACCTTAGACATTTCCCAGAAGAGGCTTAAAAACATCCCCTCCCCTGCCACCCTGCAGCTTGTCAGAAGGTGAACTGTCAAGAAAACCCAAGGGTGCAAATTATCTTTAGCTGTGAAAGGGTGGTTTTGGGGGGATTTAAGCCACCTTCACAGCAATTTCCTCAAATCCCCACATCCACAATTTAGTTCTCAGCAGGGCGCACATGTCGCACTTGTTCCTGAATTGCTAGGCGCTCTGAAAAGTGTAAATGTGCATTCCTCTTCATTTCAAAGGAAAAGGGGCTTGGGTAGCTTTAAAAGCTAGTTGTCAATACAACTATGGAAACTGGGAGTTTTGAACTGGAACATGCAGAAAAGTATGCAAGAACAGAATGGCTCATTATTGCAGCAAGGAGGTGGAAAGGCGATGCCCGCTTCTGGCATTTGGTGCTCATCCAAGAGCCCATGGCAAGAGCAGCAAGGGTATGTTGCTGCTCATGCCATGGGTTTTTTCCTAGGTGATCATGGGCTGTTAGATTGACTTGTTGCTCATGCGTAAGCCAGCCCAGGGAAACCAATCTAGATTTTCACATGGCATGACAATCCATCATGCATAATGATGCCCAGTCATCACACCTCACCTTTGGAATTCTCTTTATCTTGCTTTCGACACCAAGTCAAGACTTTGTTTATTTAGTATCTATTTTTAGATTGGATTGTTGGTTTGCTCCTGGTTTATTGTTTTACTGTTTTATTGGTTATTGTTATTGGTCATATTGTGTTTATTTTCCTCCTGTTTCCTATTTATATGGTTGCATTTATAATGTATTTTAATTTTACTATGTTTATGGTTCTGTTTTTATTGCTATTAATTTATCTGTATTTTAAATATATTTATATTGCACACTGTGAACCTCCCAGAGAGCCTTTGACTATGGGGTGGCATACGAATGTGATAAATAAATATCCATGATGGGTTTTGTGTCTTGTCATGCAGACCCAGTCAGAGAGTCAGCAGAACCTACTGAATGGGGTGATCTGTGGAATGGTAGGGTGGAAGAGGATTCCCAAATACTGGGCAGAAGAACCTGCAGTTAACAGAGCCTTCCTCTCACAAAAGGCCCTTTTAGGATACAGTCCTAGATCCCCATTGTACCTGGATTTCATTGACTCATGAAGAACTGAATTAGCTCTGGCATGTGGGTGCCCATCTCTTTCTCCCAATAGTTGGTGTTTTTAATGAAAAGCAGCATTGAAAGCCTGAAACTGGGAGCAGGAGAGTAGCAGGAGAGTAACTTCACCTCTTTTCTTCCTGCTATTTGTGTGCTCAAAATTGCCCCCATAGGGGAAAATATATGGAGTTCTCATATATTTGCCCCTGCAGCTGGAAAAGTAATTCTGAGAGATTTTGAGCAAACAAATCACAGGAAAAGAAAGGGTTGACTAGCCTCTCCTCCATGGTTCTTGGATTCAAACTTACAACCACCCGGGGCTGTTTTTCCCCCCATTTTTCTATTTTGAAGTGGGGGAAAGAGACATGCAGTAATAGATCACTTTTAATTTGGTCCTGATTCTACCCTTGTATGTTAGGAATTGAAAGTATTTCTCTGTTTAAAAAGAAATGATTACAAAGTTGAGCCAGCTAACGATAAAGCTTAAATTATAGCCACAAGAATAGATGGAAAATTCAAACAGTTTAATAGACTTCATGGTTGGCTTACTGTGGCTGCTGAATATTTGAAGGGAAACCAATCCCCTGGCAAGCTTTCCTTAGAATAACCTCTTTACAGTAGTTTCAGCTTACCTCTCTGTTACTTTGAACGAAGCTGTTACCTAAGTGGTCCTGGGTGCTCTATAATTGGCACCTTTCCACCTTCCAGACAAGTTTGAGTGCCACAGAGAAACCTGAGTGGCCAATTTGTCATACAGTGATGTGACTCTTATTCTTCTCTGTTTCCCAAAGCTGCTGGGACATCATGTCCCTGGGGTATCTTGCCTCCAGAATCCTTCAAGTACATTCCTTCTCCTAATCCAGTGTATTAAAGCCACCTTAAAGTGTATTTGTGAACAAAGAGTGCACAAAGAGAGGGCTGGTACTTTGGTGCTAGTACTGTTGAGGACCATACAGGCTCTTAATGCTGAAGCTGCCATGGACTGTCATTGGCTTATCACTTCCAAGAGAAATATTTGCTTAAGTACTCTAATTCATTCTGCACCAACTTAGCTCCAAGGGTGATCCTGTTTGACACTGATGCTTTAAGTATTGAAAGGGGTGATAGTACTTCAACAACCCAGAAATATGGCATATTCTTTTCCTTATGCCTTGTTCCCAATGACATTCTTCATCAATGTATTATCAACACTGAGAGGGAAGGTTTTTTTCTTACTATGTTCAGTGTTTGTTTTATTGAGGAAAACATCTTATGCCTGGAACATTGCTTTTTTAACAGGTTATAGTATGTCCTAAGAATGATATATTTTGAAACTGTCAGGACAAAGAAATTCTAAAGTGGTGAAAGTTAGTTAGATGCCAATCATGCAGTGGCCAGAGGAAAACATTGTGGGGGGGGGGGGTTCTCTTATTGTGCATTCATTATGCACTCTTGATTCAGCCCTCAATAAAGTTCACAAGGTCTTTTCATGACACTGTCACCTCTCAAGACCTCTGCTTTGCAGCCATTCAGTGGCTTTTTGTAGAACAAGGAAAGTCTGATATTTACCTAGATGCTACTATTATTCTCTACAGAAGCCTAATGTATTTTCACAATTCCATTTATGAAATTCACAGCAGTGTTGTATAATGAAATATATAGAAAGGAAAGCCCCTGGAAAAAATAATGTGAAGGACCTTCTAATCCTCCCACAAAGGAAGAGGAAGCCCCACTAAAGCAACAGGTAATATGCCTCCTGTAGAAAAACCCAGAGAAACTGAACCACACTGTGTTAGGCTAGAGACAAGCCATTACATGTTTCAGGGAACTAAATGAAGTTTAAGAGTGATTGCTGCTTTTGGTCTGTATAATCGTGTTGTTTTCATCTGGTAAATAGGTTTTGTAGATTTTTTTATTTCATAAACCTGTAACACCTGTTTGACTAGAACTGCTGGCATGTGTATGGGGAGTGATGTCTCTGTCAAACCATTTTCATCTCTCTTAAATTGTCTGTTTCCAGCCTTAGTATTTTCATTGCTTTTGTGCCTAGGACTTTTCCATGTGACAGTGAACAGATGTTTGTACTCACTCTGAATAGGTAGGAACCTGAGCAACCTTACTAATATTATCCCAAAGAGTTTATGTAGAAACTTAGGAATAGTCAGACCTGGAAATGCGCTGTGCAGTGTTGAGATGTAAAGGTCAGGTCAGGCTAGTGAAAAGAAAGCATCACTTAGGGATCTACCTCCATGATATTTAATTGATAGACGATGATCCACTACTAGGCTGCAACCTGACCTAAACTAAACCTCGACAAACCTAAACCTCGACAACTTCATTATTTTGATGTATGAGACATAGAAACATAGAAACAGAGCGAGTCAGAAGGGGTCTCCTGGGCCATCTAGTCTGACCTCCGGCTCCAGCCAGCTCCGCTCACGACATGCCTACCATGTGCACATTCAGCCTATCCTTGAACACCCTCACCGATGGGGCCTCAACCACCTCCCATGGAAGCCCATCCCATACCCATGGGGTCCTGACTGTCAGGAAGTGCTCCCTGGCATCCAAATTGAACCTTGGTTCCCTGAGCTTTGCTCCGTTGGAGCGCGTCCTGCCTTCCTCTGCAGGGGAGAACAGGTCTCTACCCACCTCCATGTGACACAGTCTCACATATCTGTATGCATACACATACCTGCATGCATACAGTAAATACTAAGAAATAAATCTCCAAGGGTTTGCTTAAACTTAGGGTGTGTCACAGATCTGAAAAGGCTGAAGGCCAGTGACTACCTTACACCCTCAAGAATTTCAGGGTTAAAAAAATCAATTCTTTTACAGTTAGTGTTTTTCTTTCATTTCATTAATGATTACTTATTTAAGGCACGATCCAAAGCCCTACTCCCAAGCCCTGGAACTTGGAGGCTTGCTTGTATCCAGTGCACAGCATGAGGAACAGTGGTCCCTTCATTTAGGGGGCCACTACCGGACATCTAGATAAAGTGCCACAGAGGGGGAAGGAAGCATGATTTGCAAATGGTATAAGCTGCTGGCCCCAGCCTCTTCCCTTCCCCACTCCCTGGCTGGAGGGAGGGCTTGGCATTCTGCATCCAAGGTCATAGGACCACAGAGCTGGGGCTCCAAATATCCTATGGTCCAAGGTCAGAATGCCATATGGTTGTGCCCTTTGATATTCACAGAAACTAGTCAGAGCATATCACACAATTTAAAACAATAATATGACATAAAGTGATACATTAGGTAAAATACAATAAACATAAAGAGACAATAACCATACCAATGCAGAGGTAATAGAAATCTTTGCAAACTGCCCAGAAATCTGTGGCTATTGGACAGTATAGACATGGAATAAATGAAATGAGAAGGTCCTGTCTCTCATTACCTCGACTATGTCTCCCTGTATTGGAGACAGAGAAGGACATCTCCATAAAATTATATCAATAATATATCAATATGCATTCCTCATATTTGTTTTAATAAATCTCCATCTCTTTTCCTAGCCTTCATCTTTGTTCTTTGCTACAGTGTCTAAGAAAATAAAGAAGAAGGGGAAAAGGAACCAGGTGCATGTCCTGCAATTCAATTCCTTTGGTTGCAAAACATTCTAGAACTTGGGTTTTCTATAACCTCACTCATGTGTGTGTGTGTGTGGGGGGGGGCAGCTGGGGGAGAACGGGGGCATTTTCTCATGGGCAGCATCTTTCTTGCCTGCTGGAGTCTACTGAAATCCAGCATGTTTAACACAACTAGAATGATGTCCTGTCTGCTTCCCTGGCACTTGGGATCCTCTTAGGCAAATCTAGCACATATGCTTTGGAACTGCAAAACAATAGCCCCATTATGGGCAGAGGTGATAAAGCACATAGAGCTTGTCTTCCAGGCAATGCAATGTTATCTCTATTCACAAAGCAGATGAGTTCCTCCCTTCAAAGCAGCTAAAGCTGGAAGTCCTGGAGGGTCAGGACTGCTACTTGTTTTGTACTACAAGATGCAGGGCAGGAGGGATCTGCAATTGGACCTCCTGAGTATTTTATTTAATGTAAGCATGTGTTCTGATTTTGATGGGGACTAGCAGAGTCTTTGGGTTAGGAGCTATTTAGCTCTTCCCCCACACCCTTTTTCTCAGTCTGCTTCCCCACACAGAAGCCTGCTGAGAACTTATAAAATACCTTGTCTTTCTATCCCCCAGGAGGGCTAACAGCAGGTGAGGGGTCTTTTGGACTGGAAAAGTGCATGCCCAAAAGGACTAAATCAACATTACAACCACTCCTCCAGTAGAATGCTTTGAAATTTTGACAAAAGGCTTGAATATCTGCTATCTGTTTTGAAGTCTGCAAGCCTCAGTTTTTTCTTTCCATGGCTTAGGGCCCCCACAGTCTACTTGTACAAGCTAGCAAGACTACCACAGATGAAAACAACTGAAATATGCCATTAAGTCTTCTCTGATGTATGGTGAACCTAAGAATGGGTGCCCTCCAAAAAGTCCTGTCTTTGACAGCCATACTCAGTTTTTCCAAACTCAGAGCTGTGGCTTCCTTTATGGAGTTGATCCATTTCATATTTGGAACTAAAAGATTATTCCCATTCAAAAACAAGCAGCATATTAAAAAGTCAGAGAAAATAGCTGTACTCATACTGTTTGTGTCTTTAGGAGTCTATAGTTTTAAATCATAAATCAATCTTTTACAGTCTCATATCCTCCGTATTTATTGCACTGCAATTCCCACAATGGCCATGGCATGTGGGAATTATGAGAGCTGCTGTCCAATACATCTGGAAGGCATCAGGTTGGGGAAAGCTGCTGTAGGCAGCCAGTCAAAAGAGAATATGATGAAGATCCAAAGGCAGTGTCTCCTTGAATTATCACGTCTGGGATGGTGTCAGTTCCCTCCAAGTTCCTAACTACCCAGTATATTTTCTAATATCTATCCACATTTATCACATTTCAGAATGTGATCCAGATAGATGGGCTTGTCTCCAAGAAATTCTCTGGATCAGATTACAGCATATTCCTTCCAGGGTGGGGATACAGCCATATCTAGCAATTCAGCTTGCATCTTTTTGTTTTCTGAGGACATCTAGCCTTTTCCTTTTATACAGAAATGTTGCCTTGGACAATTATGCTGAGCTGCCTTCTAGACATTTCTATCATCCTGATTACTTCCATTGCTTTAATATTTGATCAGGACATTTTGTCATTGGTACAGTGTGATAGATGATTCTACTACCCTGTTGGCATTCAGTATGACTCAGAGATGGTGAAGAAGATGGTCTCTGGGGTATGTATACACCACTTTCTTAAACAGTAAATGCTGCAACATGCATGCAGTTGTTATGGAAATGTTATCGTGTTGTATCAAATGAAGAGATGTCACCTTTCTAGATTGTTGAATAGCTTTCTAGTTAAAGCTGTTTGCTTGATATCCTGATCAGCAAAGAATGGGGATCATGGTGGGGCCTCAAAGAAACTCGTTTGTACTTCGGAGTAAAAGAGAAGTTAGCATGTTTTTGCAGTCTTTAAACCTTTAGATGCTGGTTACATTTAGCAAAATGATACTTTTTTCTCAGCTAGCATGGGCTGAACTCACAAATGACGACAGTGGGAGGTGAGAAAACAGTGGCTTCCTTTCCCAACCACCTGAGTTCCAGTTGCATATCCCATGATTTACCTAATTACCCTTGTGGTGCATGGCTTCTCATGTCATCCAAACCCAGTGAGGTGCGCAGCAGGAGTCATGGGCTCTGGGGTGCTCTCAAAGCCATCACCACAGTGTACCTTGCTGGGTTTGGAGCTTCATGTCACAAGGGTTATTAATCAACCTGTGTGGACTGTGACCAGTGCAGAAGTATAGGGGAAAGAAGCCACCATGGCCTGACCATTGTCTGTCCAGGCTGACTGCTTGTTCTTCCACAACCACCCTGCTTACCCAGCTCAGCAGATATAGATATATAGATATATATGTAAAGGTGTTACAGAACCATTACTAATGTCTAATTTCTCTATGCACAGGGACACTGGTGCTGTTAAAGATGTCAGTGAAACTTCCTGATTGGGACAATAGGGAGCAAAAAGGAACATTTGGGAAAGCAAGAATAGTTGCCATATTTGCATAATTTATTCTGCTTCTGGTAGTCTGAGGAGCCAAGTGTTAATAATGGCAATGAAGCTACCCCATTTTGATCACTCTTGTTACTCAGACTGGCCAGGGCAAGGCTGCTTGCAGCAAAAGTCCCCGACCAAGGTACTAGCTAAAGGAGCAGTCCTCCAACTGGTACCTTAGTCCTGGTGGTTTGGCCTGGCCTGTTCCTTTCCCCACTAGGGATGATGCACAGTGGGCCAATTGGGAGGATGAGCAATGCTGTAAGGGGAACCATCACATTACTGATCAGAGGTGACAGTGAAACTTCTTCTCCATGGTAGCATTCAGGGAACAGAGTTTCAGGGTTAGGGTTGAGGGTCCCTTAAATATAGTTGAATGAGGGATCCTATTTTAGAAAGGACAGTTTTCTGTTGGCATCCTAGGTTTAAAGGGACTATTAAGCTCAAGTTAAATTTAAAGTTAAAAATCATCAACAAAAACTTCAAGTAGGGGCCTTGAAGTTGCCCATTGACAGCACCTGGGCAGCAGACTAAGCAGGAACACATGTGAGCTGGTCAGAGGCTTCCCCACTGTTTGAATGTATGTATGTTTATTTTCATTCATTTATTCCTTAAATTTCTATACTGTCCAATTTCTATACTGTCCAATTTCTATACAGTCCACCACTGGGAAGGCTATCTCCCTCATTGCCATCTTCAAGTTTCCTTCAGAGAAGCCTGGGGGATGGCCTAAGATGATGACCTTAGTATATAGGAAGGTTCATGCCAAGGCAGGTACTCTATCAGGTGTTGCAGTTCTGAGCAGTGTAAGTTTTTACAGCATCTTGAATTAGACTCAGAGACATGCAGGCAGGCAGTGCCAGTGGGCCAGACTAGGTGTTATATATTCAGTACTTCTAGTGCCTATTATCAATCTGCACACTGGATTTTGCCCAAGCTGCAGCTTCTCAGCCCTTTTCAAAGGCAGATCCATGTCAAATGCATTGCAGTAATCTGCAGCTTGCAAGTTACCAGCATGCAGACAATGGAAGCCATGTTATCCTTGCTCAGACTGGGGCATAACTGGGCCACCAACTGAAGTGGCAATGATGGCTCCAGGAGCATCTCCATGCTATAAACTAGCTGTTTCAGGGGGAGTGCAACCACACCCAGAATAGGTTGAGTACCCTGTCATCCGGTTAGAAGAATCACCTACTAACAACATCTCAGTCATGTCTGGATTGCATTTCAATTTATTAGACCCGCCCCCCGCCCCCACAGTACATTGTTGCAGCCAGGCACCAACCTAGAACATCCATTGCTTCAGCTGCTAGAGGTGAAAAGGAAAAATATTGCTGTGTGTCATCAGAACTCCAGATGGCCACATTCAGTGGCTTCATGTATATGTATATGTATATGTATATGTATATGCCATAGTGCAGTGCCCCTCGTTCCCAGCTTGGGCAGTTTCTCCAGAAGGATACTGTGATCGATGGTGTCAAAAGCTGCTGGGAAATCAAGAAGACTCAACAAGGTCAAACTCCCTTGTCTCTCTGGCAGTGTAGGTTGTTATACAGGGCAACCAAGGCTGTATGCATGCCAAAACCTGACATAAACCCCAAATGAAATGCATCAAGATAATCAGTCTTGTTGAAGAGTGCCCGGAACTGGTTGGCAACTACCTGCTCAAGGACTTTGTCCAGGAAATAAGCATTCATCATTGGCCTAAGTTGCTAAGGTTTTCTGTGTCCAAACATGATTCCTTCAGGAGTGGTCCCACCATTGCCTCTTCAGGTGGCCAAGATGACTCCCTCTAACAAGGAGGCATTAATCACTCCCCTGGCCCAGATGGCAGTTCCCTCCCTGCCAGTTTTTATAACCAAAATGAGACAAGGATCCAATATGAAAGTCTTTGCATGAACCTGTCCAGACACTTTGTCAACATCCTTGAGCTTTATCAACTGAAATTCATCCAAGAAACTGGATAATTTAAATCATAGTCATCATTTCTAAATTCTATTCCTATGGATAAGCATGTGCAACTTTTGTGCAATCTTGTGTCCAATTTTGACTCCCCCCCCCTTTTTTTTTGTTTTGTTTTGTTTTTGGCAATGTGCACTGACCACCTCATTTAAAGATCATGATGAGATAAAGATATGAAGACAGATTCTTGGGTATGTTGAGCTTCAGCCATTTAGGGTGTTATATATCATGTTCTGAATTTTGAACTTTTTGCCAAAGCTGGCAAAATGGAGTCCCCTAAGGGTACACATCCATATTTGCAATGGATGCTTTCAGACATCTACTCCATTCTAGTTCTCTTCAAATAAATGAGTGAGCTGAAGTGGATGAGATCTCTGTGGTGACAGCACACCACAGTCTTCTTTCCAAGCCTTTTCCTTTCATTTCAGCTCAAGTTCCACTGATGTTGTAAAGTTTCATTCCCAGAGACTTGGTCCTGCCAAGAGCTGTTACATGCTCCTCAAGCTCTGTCAGTCAGCGGCTAAAGAGGCATCAAGCAGCTGTTAAGCTACAGGGATGCAGGTGGGCTGGGGTCTGTTCGTGAACAACTGAGGACTGCTACAGGTTGACTTGCTGTTTGCTGTTCTTAAAATTTTCACTAAACTATACAGCTGCCACTCACAACATGGCAAAATCAAATTTTCAGGACCATTGCATATTTATTTGTCACAGATTTTATCCAGACATTTTTCTGACAAGTTCAAAGAGATATACAAGGGGCCAACTGGTTTTACGATGATGCCAGCTCAGTGAGAAAGGTTAGGCTGAGAGATAGCAACATCATAACCAAAGCAGGGTTTGAACTAGAGTTTTCTGGGCGAAACAGTAACCCCAATCGATGGGTATCATGGGGCTACCAGATAGCCAGAATTAAAGGGATGAGCAAGGCAGAAATAATACAAGAAGGTATAGGTTGAAGAGCTGGACTCTTGTGTTCATTTGTTTCCATTCCTGCCAGTGTTGTATCCAAGAGCAGAGTTAAGTGATGTTGCCACCTCAAGCAGCAGATGATGGGAGGAAAGGGATGGTGAGGTGTTGGAGGACAGGTGTTGGAGGAAAGTGTTAGAGTTCTATGCAGCCCATGTCCTGTACCCACTAAACAACCCTCCTGGGCTCAGGAAGACAGCTGCCCCAGCAGTGCTGCTGAAGTAAGATTCAGCTGTCAGCTCAGTCTACTCTGATACATGAAAGGGGGATGCCATCTTGTCCTTTGCTTCAGGCAGCCAAATGTCTTGGGCTGAATCTGTTCATGAGTGTGACACTGAATTCTTTTCACCCCTGTCTCTGCCCTCTTGCTCCGTCTACTTTTGTGTCACAATTAAAGCAAAGACACCCAAGATATTTAAAGGTTTGTATTCATGAAGAACCTATTTCCAGTTATATGTAATTGTTCAAATCATTAAAAGGCTTTATATGTCCATTCATTTAAGCCTATATATTATTCTGTTTGGATTCTAACATAGTTTAAGTATCTCCTGTACAGTTTGCTGGAGAAAAGGAATGAAAGACTTGAAAGGCATGTAGATCTAAGTTGTTCTAGCACCTCAGGTTTAGCAAAGGGTGCCTTGACTTCTAAAACATCTGTGTGACTGCAAAGAGCTTTTTTTGATCTAGCAGTTTGGGTTTTACAAGGCTATTTTAATTACCTTGTAAGAAAGGTATCTTGCAAAGTGTTTTGCTTTGCATTAGCAAGCTCAATTCTTAATCATATAGGAAAGTACAGCCAAGGTGAAACTGAACAAGAATAAAGATCAGATTTCAGAACAGAAGTGCTGCCAAGTTTGTATGCACTGAGGCCACTCTTTGGTCACTCACTCAGCTTCACAATGGAGCAAGGATTCAAACCCCAGTCAAACACCTTATCCTCTCTACCACACCTTGGAGAGATTCAAAATGCTATTATATTTATAAAAAGCCATCCTGAAGTTTGTGTCTCTAGACTTTCAGTACATAACACCTTATTCTAGTGTTAGTCTTCCATAGTTTATCAAACTAGATATCAAGCTACATAAATACGCTTACACACATACACATAACATTATCCAGCCTGAATTGAGCAGTTTAACATTCAATTTATTTCAACAGGAAAGTTAAGCTTGTGCATAAATTGGGATCATGTCTATGAAAACTCAAATAATTTAGGTAAGTCCTTTTGTGCTTTTACACCCAGAAGTCCAG